AAGGAACGACACGAGGTCGGGAACAAAGAAATGACCTTTCTAGCCACCAAATGGGTTACCCTATTGCTAATCTAACCTAAAATCGTACAACAAAACCACTACAAAGCACCAATAGACATAGGACTTCCTCAAGAATATCCCAGAGTAACTATCTCGCTTGTCTGCCAGGATTATCTTATCAATGATCACATTTGCATCCCCTTCAAAGCAAACTTGTGAGAGACCAAGATCCATATAACACTAGATGGCCTCCCGAAGGACCAAAAGCTCTACCAAGGCTGGTCATCAATATCTGCAACGTACACTCCGGCCAATACAATAGACCCTCTAAGGTCCTTCATGCAAATGAACGAAGTCGGATCATCTGAGCTCGGTCCCCACACTTGGGAGTAGGAATGTGGGTCATTCTGTCTGCTGGCAAGCTAATCAATTCCTAGACTTGTTGAAGATATTGCCGCATAAAGGCAGAAATTCAGAATTGCTTACCCTTAAAGGCAACCATCCTTGATCTCCAAATCTGCCAAAAAATTGCTACGACAACCATAATTTGGTGGGATTGAGTGATAAGTACCAACAACTTCTTCAGAAACAATGGAAAAGTATGGCGTGGGAGCCCCTGGCCCAGATATTCTAAACCAAAGTAATCCCGAAGTGCTCTTGCCACAGTGCAATCCAGAAACAGATGCTCTGCTGTCTCCGAATCTACCCAGCAGACCGGACTACGAGGCACTACTTCAACCTTCTTCACAATAGGAGCCTCTGTTGTTGGGAGGATGCAATGGAATATCCTCCAAAGGAAAATTTTCATCTTTGGCAGAATTGGTAGCTCCCGCACATCCGAATCTAACTAACTCTATTCATCCAACTGAACATTTGACGTCAACCACCTCGTTGTCTATCAATCAAAACTCAGACTTAATTAGCTATTTTATTGATTAACACTTTTAGGAGGCTGATGAGAAATGGCTTAGGATAGAGTTGTCAATTAAAGGCATTTTATTTGCCCTAGTTTTCTTAATCGGCTCTTATCTTCTTAATCACCTATGAGTAACTAAATCTGGACCTTTAGAACTAAGTGGGTCCAGAAAATTCAGATCTAAGGGTTGTCAATTAAAGGCATTTTATTTGCCCTAGTTTTCTTAATCGGCTCTTATCTTCTTCGTTCTAACTCAAATTCAATTTTTTTTTGCACAGATGGAACGAGTTCTTTGTGCTCTACAAAATGAGATCAATTTTCAATATATTTCGAGAAACTTTTGTTTTACCAACTACATACCATATAGTAACTTCTTCATTTTTAAGTCGTTTTTGAAAACGTTTGCTCAGAAAGAACGAGTTCATCATGATCTATTGGATCTTTAATTTTTCTGGGTGAAAAAAATACTGGATAAAAAATTATCATACTTTAACACTATGGTATGTGGCGGTAACTTGTGGTAACTTGTAGTAAACAATGATGAAAGTCGTAAATGACCGTTAGTATACTCCTATTATCATGTATTCGACATTCTTACCATATTGGTATGTTCATACCATCATGGTACGCTTTCTTACCATATAGTATTAAATAGGAGCATACCATATGGTAATAACTGGTAAAAAATTATTGAATTTTTTTTGTACTAAAAATATATTAAAGTGGATATCATTTTAAAAAGCACATTTAATCTGATTTATCTGTTAAAAAAAATAATTTCGACTTAAAACGAGAGAGAACTCGTCCGTAAATATTAAAGGGGAATAGATAAAAGACTTTCCAGGAGAGAGGATACTGATGTCATGCTAATGTGGACAGATTACTCATGATTACTGACTATAAAATTACTCACCTGATACGTTCCCATAGAAATACCATGGAAATTCCACAAGCCCTTTCCAAATTAACCAAACAAACGGACCTGTCCCTTTCTAACACAGACAACCTTATCAAGGAAGAAATGTGGGAAGGATGAGATCAATGAGCAATAAAACCTATTGTCAAAAAAAAAAAAAGAGCAATAAAACCTGCTATAACCATTCTCTTTGTTTACATAGACCAGAAAGCAAGAAGCATTTCTGGTAATTTCAATAAACCAAAACCCCACGAAAGGTGCCCATGACTGAACTATTACATATATTCACTTTAAAGGAAGAAGTAAGTAAGCCGTTTAAATTAGGACGCAGGAGATGAATTAGACACAAACAATTACATGTGGATATCAGGAAATTAATAGTCCTATAACCCAGATTGTTTATAGAAATTCAAATAGATAGAAATAAATAAATAAAAAGTAAACGAATCAAAGAATCCATAGATGGGCGCCATATCATGTTCATGTTCATATTCATATATCCTCACACAGGAAAAAAAAAATCCCCTTTCCCCAAAAAACCGGAAAAAATCCAAAAGTACCACTGTTTAGAAAAAAATTTCCAAAAATACCACCCAACCCCAAAAAATTCCAAAAATACTACCCTTTTTCAAAAACCGCCACCCCACCCAGCGGTTTGGTCGAAAACCGCTTGTCGGGGGCGCGGTTTTGGACCAAACCGCGGGCCTAGGGGGCGGTTATAAAAAAAAAAAAAAATTGGACCAAAACCGCTGGGTGGGGTGGCGGTTTGGCCCAAAACCGCCACCCCAACTAGCGGTTTGGTCCAAAAGTTCGGTCGAAACTTCAAACGAACGTAACTTTGCACTCGGGTACCCGATCGTAGCGATTTTTTTTTTCATTTCGCATAACTTTTCAAGATCTACAACTTTTACTAGGATGAAATTTTCAAAACAGGAACTATTTGTGGATATACGGGACCTTGAGAATAACTTTACCTTTACTTTTCAGAAATCCATGTACATTTTGAAATTATGATTATATTAAAAGTTGTAGATCTTGAAAAGTTATGCGGAATCAAAAAAAAGTTCATAACATTCGGAGTTTGGAGCACAAAGTTATGGCCGCCCAAAGTTTGACGAAAGGCGAGACCCGGCGGTTTGCGGCTTGCAAGATCTCAAAAAGTTTGCGGCCTCCATTTTTTGAATCCGAATCACATTTTGAGATCTTGCAAGTCTCAAACAGTCGGGTTCCGTCTTCGTCTCGAAAAAACGTCATTTGCCACCCCGAACGGCATTTTTTTTTATTTCGTCAAACTTTGGGCGGCCATAACTTTGTGCTCCAAAATCCGAATGTCATGAATTTATTTTTTATTCCGCATAACTTTTCAAGATCTACAACTTTTAATATAATCATAATTTCAAAATGCACATGGATTTCTGAAAAGTAAAGGTAAAGTTATTCTCAAGGTCCCGTATATCCACAAATAGTTCCTGTTTTGAAAATTTCATCCTAGTAAAAGTTGTAGATCTTGAAAAGTTATGCGAAATGAAAAAAAGAATCGCTACGATCGGATACCTGAGTGCAAAGTTACGTTCGTTTGAAGTTTCGACCGAATTTTTGGACCAAACCTCTGGTTGGGGTGGCGGTTTTGGGCCAAACCGCCACCCCACCCAGCGGTTTTGGTCCAAATTTTTTTTTTTTTATAACCGCCCCCTAGGCCCGCGGTTTGTTCCAAAACCGCGCCCCCGACAAGCGGTTTTCGACCAAACCGCTGGGTGGAGTGGCGGTTTTTGAAAAAGGGTATTTTTGGAATTTTTTGGGATTGAGTGGTATTTTTGGAATTTTTTTTTTAAACAGTGGTACTTTTGGATTTTTTCCCAAAAAACCAAAGAAACATTGTCCCCAGAGTTTACAAAAACAAGAAGTAACTAAAAACATTTTAATTTTGTTGCTGAATTAAGAACTATAACTCTTCCTCTCCATCCTGACCCGAGACCGCTCTTTCAGCCCGTGGAGCTGCATTTGCCACACCGCCCTCGACGACGACGACCAACACTCGCTCCGCCGCGGCCTCCCGACGGAGCTCACGTTGCTGAGCTCGTAGTTGTAGACTAGACGGGAGTCCGGGTCGGACAGCGTGTCGTAAGCCTCCTGGATCTCCAAGAGACTTAGTCGCTGGAGGGAATATTTGATTTTTGTACGGAGTCCGGCCTATTCGTCGCCGGTGATGGACAAACGTCCTGTCCAAGCGTTGCCGACGACGGACGAACGTCCGGCCAGGACGTTGACCTGTCGCCGGTGACGCCTGGAAAGGACGTCGCCCTCGCCGGCGGCTGGTAAACGACCGTTTTTAAAAAATATTAATTTAGGGTTTTTTCTCGTTTAATTTAATTTAGGTTAATTATCTGCTTTAATTATTATGATTTAATGTATGTTAATTATCTACTTTAAAACAATTACTTTAACTATGTAGGTTAATTATATGCTTTAATTATTATGATTTAATGTAGGTTAATTACTTTGATGATCTACTTTAATTATGTAGGTTAATTATTACTTTAAATATGTTAATATTTGGCTTAATTGCAAGTTTGGTCACCCGAATTGCTTAAAAATTTCACTTTTGCCACCCGAATTGATTTATTCCATTTATAGTCACTCGAATTAGTTGAACAGTCCAAGTTCGGTCACTCTCCGTTAACCTCCGTTAGACTCCGTTAATGACGACCGTTAAGTGATGACGTGGCTAACAGAAAGACACAGTCAGCACATTTAAACATTAAAAAATGACGACCAGACCCGACCCGACCCGCCAGCTCAGCCTTACCCGCCCAGTCAGCCATTCTTGCCCAACCCGCGAACCAACCCAATTAATTAACCCTAAACCCAAACCCGAGACCCAACCCCCCTGAAAAGTAAATCGCAGATGGATTAGGGCATTTCCCTTCCTCCATCTTCATCCTCTCATCCTCCCGCGCCGCCTCTCTCTTTGCACACCATCGAAAATCACCGGAAGGGATGGAGGCCGCCGCCGGCCTAAATCCCTCACCCCTCCCGCTTCTGTTCTTCCTCCGCCGCGATTCTTCTTCTTCGCGCGCTGCTGTTTTCCCCCTATTGCAACCAGAAGCTCCTCCAAGCCCACAGCTCTTCAGATCAATTTCTCCATTTTCTTCTCTTAATCCAGCAGCAATGGCCCAAGTAAGCTTCTCAAAGGCAGCTGCCCTCTCCGTGTTCCTGCTGGTCGCATCCATGGCCGCCATTGTCTCCGCCCAGGAAATGGCCCCTGCTCCATCGCCGTCGTTGGTCACCGGCGCTGGGTTCTCCGTCCCAGCTTCCGGCGCCTTCGTTGCCGTCTCCGTGGTTGTGTTGAAGATGTAGAGAGTTTACCCTTTTTTGGTCTCTTTGAGCTTGTGAATTTGTCTGTGCTTCCTTCTCCCCTGTTTCTTGATTCCTCTGTTTTCTCACTTCGCCTCTTTTTTTTTTCTTGTTCCGGGTTTTGGTTTGTGGGTTCGGATCCATATTGGATCTTGTGTTAGTTGGGGGTTTTTCATTGTATCAGATCCATTGATCTATATATTCATTGTATGATAATATTATATTGACTTATAATTTAAGTTGTTGCCTCTGTTCATCTTTACTCATGTTCAGTTTGGCTGGGTCTCTTGTTACTCTTGTTTGGATCCATATTGCAACCCGCGAAGAAGAAGAATCGCGGCGGAGGAAGAACAGACGCGGGAGGGGTGAGGGATTCAGGGCGGCGGCGGCCTCCATCCCTTCGACGGTGATTTTCGATGGTATGCAAAGAGAGAGGCGGCGCGGGAGGATGAGAGGATGAAGATGGAGGAAGGGAAATGCCCTAATCCATCTGCGATTTACTTTTCAGGGGGGTTGGGTCTCGGGTTTGGGTTTAGGGTCAATTAATTGGGTTGGTTCGCGGGTTGGGCAAGAATGGCTGACTGGGTGGATAAGGCTGAGTTGGCGGGTCGGGTCGGGTCGTCGTTTTTTAATGTTTAAATGTGCTGACTATGTCTTTCTGTTAGCCACGTCATCACTTAACGGTCGTCATTAACGGAGTCTAACGGAGGTTAACGGAGAGTGACCGAACTTGGACTGTTCAACTAATTCGAGTGACTATAAATGGAATAAATCAATTCAGGTGGCAAACGTGAAATTTTAAAGCAATTCGGGTGACCAAACTTGCAATTAAGCCGTTAATATTTAATATATACGAAAATTATGTCGGTTAATGTTTTCTTTTAATTGAAATTAGATAGGAAAGTGATTCGGGCCCAAATGTACACATTTTACCCCTCATTTCTTATTCGTTTAGCTTAGTATTTCATCGTTCCTCGACATATTTCACGTTAGGTTATACTTTTTTTATACATTTTAGGTCTTAGCACGTGTGGAAGGGTTGGGGATGAGTTTTGAGATATTTGGAGGTCAAAAAGCGAAAAAACCGAAGAAACGTCCGAAGTCACTATTTGGATGCAATTGTCACGGTCGTAGTTCACAGCCGCGGCGTCCATTCAGGTTCATGAAGTTACTTACGACAAGGTAGCTCGGTCAATGGCCACAATTTACGGACGCGTTTATGTATTTACGGTCGTGAACTGGCCTACGCGTCCGTGAACTGGTCACTTTCGGACAAATATGAAGACAACAACGGGGAGAGAGAACGGAGAGTTGGTTTATGGAGAAGAAACACTTTCTTTCTTTAGGGTTTCAACCTAAAACACCAATGGGGAGTTCTAGTGAGAGAGAGAGAGAGAGAGTGCTAGAGTGATCTTTGAGCATTATTGGAGGCTTGGGTGGAGGATTCAAGTCTGGAAGAAGAAGAAGAAGATCTTGAGCTCAAATTTGTAACCCTCTCTCTCACTCTCTCTCTAGAAACTCACTCTTTTCTCTTGGGTGTTGTAGATCCCTAACTAACACTTTGTAATTACCTGTTTAGATTGAATGATTGTCATTGGGTATTGTTTAATTTAATGATTGAGGTATTATTCATGTTGATTGTGCATGCTTGTGCTTAGCAATCTAAGGGTTGTGCATGTTTTGTGCTTAGCATCCTTAGGTTTGTGCAATTTGGTGCTTAGCAACATAAAGATTGTGCATAATTGTTCTTAGCACCCTTAGATTTGTGCATGTTGTTGCTAGCAATCTAATTAGCCACCTTAACCTAGCTTAGAGAGGAAAATCCCCCTTCCAAGGGAGACTCAATCGAGTTGGTTTTCCTTCAGCTTTTTAAGCCACCTAACTAGGTTAATTTAGGGCAACCCTCATTGTTGATTTAAGCAAATCGGTCAATCGTGATTAAGCCGTCCGACCTTTGGGTTGAGTGAGGGAGTAAGTCAACTACCGATTGCCTAAACCAAGAGGGTCGAGTGACACAGCCTATATTGTTCACCTCGGTTTAGCAATTTAGATTGTGCTCTCCGACCATATATGCATCCCTCTGTGGTTCGCGGTTACCTTGCCCATAGCAATCGTTCCAATCCAACGAGTCTTGGTAGCTAGTTAGGGGGAAGCAACTCCAGGGTGAAGCTCCCTTAGTTAGAGTTTTCCTTTGTTTAATTTTCCTTGCTTGTTTAGTTTGTAGTTCCATTAGCTATAAACCCAAAAGTTGCTTGCTAGATAACAACCTAAGAGATTGAAGTAGGGGTACATGGATCGGCCTGGGTTGACAATTTAAATACTTGCTCTATACTGCACCCGACTAGAGTTTAAAAATATGTTCTCTAGTCGGAATTAATTTGTGGTGTAGTTTCGTGCGAACCAGAAAGGTAAATTTTAATTGATAAATATAAGTAAGTTTAATAACTTAAATATAAAAATTTATTTCATGAAAAGTATTAATTGTTGTACGAACCTTAAATTGCAATTGAAAATTTAAGCAAGAAAATTAAGTTAGAATTTATCGTGAAATTCATTATAATTCGGAACATTATATTGTGATGGGAATTTTATTGTAATTGAAATTATATACGAATGTTAAATTATTATAGAGAAATATACGAACTTTGAACATTTGAATATAAAAATTTATTATATGAGAACTAGCAATTATCATATGAACATTGCTAATAACTATTACATGATGATAATAAATTGACAATAATTTTAATTCAAATTTTAATAGGTAGAAAATGGTGGATACAAGAGGAAAGAAGAAGATAAAGGAGGTAGAGCCGTCGAGGGTGGCCAACCGTATAGTATTGAGGTCGCGTCGTGAGGAAGCAGAGAATGAGCGTCGACGTGCTAGACTTGTGGATAATCCTTCTCCCTCGGCTCCCTTGCCTTTTTACTTAGATAGAGCTTTTGAGAGAGTGGATGAGTATGATGGCAGTGATGATAATTATGACGACTTCCCGGATGTAAATGAAGCTTTCATAGAGGGCAACCATCCGAGTGCAGGTGGTTCTAGTTGACCTAGATTAGAGCCCGAGGCTCCCTTTGTGTCTTCTGCGTCCTCTCAGTTTGTTCATGTTAGACGTGGGCCTCGTGGTCGTTTTAAGTCATTACGACCCGATTCGGAGGAGGGCAGCACTAGTAAGAGGAAGAAGACGAGAGAAGCTGATTCGTGGATTCTTGGCAGGAGTGGGTCAGGGGGGCCTATCGGTCCTATCCTGATTCCTAGTTTTGGAGGTCATGTGGCTTATCGATTATGGGATGATGGTTTAGGGGCTCGCCGAATTTTTTCATTCAAGTTGTCGACTAGAGCATTGGCAGTCAATTATTTGAAAGATTACATATTTCAGAGTGAGGGTGCTGCAACGTTGGTTGAGAGGACAGGGTTGCGCAAGTTGTTGGACTGCTCGATCCAGCACTTGGATGGACCTTTACTTGTGACGTTTGTGAAGAGGTGGCAGCCAGACACCAACACCTTTCACATGCCTTTTGGAGAGATGACCATCACGCTCCACGACGTTGTAGTGCTGCTTGGGATTGTAGTCGGTGGAGATATGGTTGTAGGGAATGAGAGTGTGAAAGCACATTTGTGTGAGATGCTGAGGGTCAAACAATTGAATGAACGATCCAAGCCTTCGCTTAAGAGTGGGGGTTTGGTGTGTGTTGAAGCTATGCATCAGGTTAGGAGGTTTCGGGAAAGATATTCTAAGGTACGGATGTTCTTGACCTGTTTGTTGGGGACCACCTTGTTTGTGGACAGGAGTGGGGATCGAGCGCATGTTTGGCCACTCCAGTTCTTGGGGGACCTTAGACTAGTGAGGAAATATTCTTGGGGGTCTGCTATACTCGCCTATTTGTATAGGCAACTCGGCATGGCATCTCGAGCGGACTGCAAAGACATGGGTGGCTGTTTGACCCTCCTTCAGAGTTGGATCTATGAGTACTTCCCATGTCTACGAGATCAAAAGTTGGGGACAGGTGGATTGGTGTGCGGGGAACCTTTTGCTAAGAAGTGGGAGGGGTGAGATTTGGAGGTGGGGCACAGTTGATGAATGAGAGGTTGGATCACTATCGTTGAGTACTGGATAATATGACAGATGAGTTCGTTTTTTGGTGCCCATTCAGCCTCAGACCCGGTGAGATAATCTATTGTTCTTTGTACTCTTGGTGCCCATTAAGCCCACAGTGATAGCAATAGAGGAGGAGATGTTCGTACACCAATGTAAACCAAAACTTCCCCACCACTGGGTTGCTAGCAAACAACTGGGATCGAAGAGGTTCCAGGACATTCAAGGTCACTCTGGCCTTAACAAAGTGTCCCGGGACTCCGCGGATACCAAACAAGCCCGCGTCCAGCACCGTCCCTAGCTTAGCCTCCGTCATTCTTCTCCCAAACGCAATGGTTCGGCAATGTGAGGGAATACCCCACATTTGAACCCATAAGGGGGCTTTCGCTAGAGACTCCACCACTTTCGACGTCACTGGTTCCCACGCCTGCAGCTGCAAGATAAAATCTTTCACTTTTCATGGTGTACGTTCCAGAACCCAGTCCCTTACATCATCAAACAAGAACTGGAGAAGCCCCAATTCGGCCTCAATGACTGTCAAGTTCCCAGCACATCCCCATTCACCTTGAACAATCTTTTGGATTGTCTTCAAACTGGGTGGATTGTCGATGAAGAGTCGACCAACTAGACTCAGCTTCTCCCTCTTCATGCTGTCCTCAACATCATCCAACTCAAACTCCATGATCTGGTCCGTGTCCATTGGTTCGCCCGCCATGATTTTGATTCTTACACAAGCCTGAAAATGCTGGGAAAAGATAGGAAATAGGGCAATGAACACCAGAGCACAAACGTGGGGGACGAGCCAAATGATATACAATCGAAGAATGATATTTTCAATCATGATTTTATTACCTCTATGGTATCGTAAACCCAGCTCTTCTGGTTCTTCTGCCTTTTGCGCAGTTTTGTGTAGAAGCTCAGTGATAGGATCCAACCTATGATTTGTGGTAATATATACCATTTTGGTGCCAGTCTATGCACCGTCTCTGTAACCGATTCTGATTTCATGTTTATCCCCAATTTTTTCCTTGAGATTTCATCCCAACGGAGGATTTGGGTATATTTCCAGAGATTTTCCCTTTTCGGCGATAACTCCCAATCGCGAGAAAATAGATTTCCATCTGGGATTCCGACTTCATCTAAGACTCCTTCACCCTTCTTTCTTTCTCTGATTCCTTCTGCCGCGATTGCTTCTCCGCGATTAACCGACCATCTAGGCGACGCCGTGCACTTCCTGGTCTCAACCCTAGAGATCACAGCGAAGAGGTAGGAGAAGACGCGCAGAAGAAACCAATAGGTTTTTTCGAGGAGACCGGACGGAGCAGAGCGCCCCATTTTTTTAATTTTTTTTATCTTAAGTGTATCTCACTGATATTCTGATAGTTAGCTTATTGGCATATTAAACATACTTATTGAATATCAACGGATTTAACAAAACAACTCAAATTATTCAATACAAACCTGTATCATCTGAGGCTATTGCTTTTCACTTTGTGTGGATTGGAGCACCCTTCGAGGCGCCTGTTGGTGAAAATTTTGTTATAATTAGCTTATTAGCCTATTAAACATATTTATTGAATATCAATTGAACAAAGTCAAATTATTCAATAATAACCTGTATCATGTTTATACAATAGAACGAGTATCAAATGTTCTAACGAATACTCCTATAGTGTAACAAATGTCTGTTATAACTAATTGCAAAATATGCTAAGGCTGAATAAGTTAACTACTCATGCCTCTATGGTTTACAACAACATAAGATAGTCTATAGTTATGTTCCGAATTTCATCCTTCTTGCAACCTGCACTTTAGTATCTACAAAGAAAAATCACAAAGAGCTACGTCAATATAAAACCTCCTCAACAAGCAACAATAAATCATGCATTTTAAAAACCAGGAAATCCCTCACTCGATCAAGAAACTCTCTCCGAATTAAATCATGGATATACCAGGAGTCCGTAATTAGTAAACTTGTTTTCCATTCCGAATGACCACTATTTAGGAGGAATCAATTAAATATTTGAATTATAATTAAGGATATGTAAGGTAATTAAGGGATACTGGAATGAGAAGCCTAATCAGATTATCTATATGCACGATCATGATTTATTTCGCTGTGTTAATGTTACAATATAGTTTAGTAATATGAATGAAGAATGTCTGTATTGCTACGAATAGGGTGGGCAATGGGTGGTTGAACTGATTGTGCAGTAAGACGGAGAACTCTACTCTACGAGACAAGCTCAATTTCTCACGTTCGTTAGAAGAACCAAGTGTAAAGACTTGAAAAGAGCAAAGTACTCAAAAGTCCAAACAGACAAAGAAAAAAGTCCAACACATCTACAAAATACAATCTGTGAAGAGAAAGAATTAACGTATTAGAGAGCATGCACAGACGAGGAAATGCCAAACCACATGATGTCCATCGACGGATAAGCCACAACGAAATGTTTTTTGGAGTCATCGAAAATGTGGACTCCAACTTTTTGAGCTGGTAGCCAATAGGAAGCACAGGAGGAAATGGTGCAAATTTTTGTCCCCACCGCCGCTCATTTAAACTTCGTTAAATAATGAACTACCATGATATTTAGACGTCCTCAATAATGTCTTGCTAGGAAACTTCTTCTGGCCTACTGACTTAAAAGTCTTTAAACCGGCCAGCCGGTGCCGGCAGGGAATCAACGATAACCGCTTTTCTTATAGGGAATATACTAGTATTTGGTTGTGAATGAGAATATAATAATTATTTTCTATTAATTTGATACCATTTTCACACATATAAATACAACGTAGACGTATGCATTTGCAAGCACACGGAGGGCTGGAGAAGATTAGCTTATAACCCGGCCCATTGATCGGAATATTCATATTTGATTATTTATATTTTTAAGTTACGTTTAAGCTAATCTATCAGTTTATTTTTATTGACAATCCTTCGATCGAGATGATACGTAAAGAAAGAATATATAGGTTTAACATTCGGAGAAATACCATTATTATTTAAGAATATAAAATATAAAATGTATCATTAGTTCCATTTTTGTAATGATAATTAAGCCCTCATTAAAATGCTATTGGTTAGTTGATTATCAAGAAAGAGGGTATAAAAGCTCAGTGAAATTCTAGTTTGAAACTAAATCTCAAACCTCACAATCCTACATAAGGGTTTAATGCGCTCCTTTTATGAACAATATGTCACTGATAAAAAAGAAATGGAGAGTTGTTGATTCAAGTCAACTATATACTAACAACTCAGCTAAGAGGGGACCATCAAAACTTGACAGCAAACGACAAAATTAGGGTTATCTCCAATATACTAATAGACTCAATCAAAGTAATAAGGCACAAAATTAGACACTCCTTGTCTATCAGTTACAGTAGGTTGAATAAAGAATCGACCTACTTCAATAAAGCAATCAATGATTCCTCGTTTTAACATAGAAATAGGTTGTGATAGATGTAAAAACCATAAATATAAAGATCCAATAGCCACCACTCTTCGTTGTACAACCAAATTTTTATCTCAAGAGACATATGTTTCAACCAAAAAGTCAATTTCTAATCCTCCTTCTGCAACTCCATTATTTATTAACCTCTTTTACATGCCCAACTTAAATTCCTAACTATAAAACTGACCTGCCAAGAGATACCGAATGATTGATTTTCAAAAGCGTTCTTGTACTGGGAAGTGAAAGGGGTGCAAACTATTGTACGATGGAGGGAATTTTCGAGGAAGTTAGAAAGAGATAAGAACAAAGATAAAAACCATAAAATTTAAATTAAAAAATGCAAGGACACAACATGTAGTGACAAAATTAGTTTTTTCCATGTTAGCCAATTACCAATTTACCTATAGCAAAAATTAAGGAGAGAAAGAATTTTACAATTGAGAAAGTACATGAAACCCTACAATGAAAATTGAAGTATCAAACACCATAAAAATATATACGGTATGGTTCAAATCCTGATGTTGATATTTTTTATGCGAGATAAATAATAATTGTAAAGACAAAAATGTTTTTTCTACTTTTACTCTCGTTACATGAAATTTGAAATGAAAAAAAATACACAAAAATGTACTATTTGAAATGAAAAAAAAAATACACAAAAATGTACTATATATTATTGGGGATAATAACATACACGGTTTCAGATTTTCAGGGTTTTTAAAAAAAAAGTTTTTCTAGAGTGGATTCCAGCGCCATGTCATATTTGTCTTCTTCTGCTTGCATATGACATGACTTGCTACTTGCTAGAGTCCACAAAGAGAAGATGAAACGACACTTCAAAAATTCCAAAATTAAAAATAAATAGATAATGATCTTAACACAAACAACCTTAAACAACCAAGAAATGTGGGAGGCTATCTATTGTTAAAAAAAAATGTGGGAGAGGGATGAGATCAACGAAAAATAATAATACTAATTACAACCTTGATGCTTTCTCTGTGTTTACATAAACCTGAAAGCCCACGTCCAAAACTAAGCTATTTCTTATATATTCATGTTAAAGGAAGAAGTAAGTAAACTATTACAATTAGGAAAAGAAATAGTCCTATATAATTACCCAGATTGTTGATAGAAATTCAAATATTCCCGGTACAACCATAACATAGATAGAAAAGAAACATTCTCCTTTGCCCCAATAACCAAAGAAATTAACATTGTCTCCGAAGTTTACAAAAACAAGAACTCACTAAAAAATATTTTATTTATTTGGAAAATTAAGAACTATAAATTTTCCTCTCCATCCTGACCCGAGACCGCTCTTTCAACCCGTGGAGCTGCATTTGCCACACCGCCCTCGACGACGACGTTGAGCCCTCGCTCCGCCGCGGCCGCCCGACGGAGTTCACGTTGCTGAGCTCGTAGTCGTAGACCAGACGGGTGGCCGGGTCGGTCAGCGTCTCGTAGGCCTCCCGGATCTCCAAGAACCGGCGGGTCGACTCTTCTTTC